CAAAACTGTAATGCAATCTTTCCAAAGTTTTCCTCCTTTTCCTTCTCCCTCTCTGCCAGCCTCCCTCTCTCTTTCTTTTTTTCTTCAGGTTAATTTGCACACGGAAGCACACACAAAAAAAGCTGTTTGTCTTGAAAAGAAAATCTCAAGCTTGTCTTAGGAGATTGGCAGGTTATCCCTGCAAGAGAGTGTGTGTTTGATCAGGTAGCTGAGGAATTTAGACAACCCGCACTCAGCTCTTAACACCAGAGTGGGTGCTCTGAATTGACATTAATCAACAAAAGACAAACCAGCAGTTGCCTTTAAGTATGTCAGATATTTTTACCTTAATGGAAGCGAAATCCCTCCAGGTAACATGCATGAAAACAAAACTGCAGGGGAGAAACAGGCAGTTACCCAGTTTAGGCAACACTAAAAAAGCTCTCAATTTAAAAATACATTTGAAACAAGCTTTGCAGGTCAAAAGCATTCAAGCATGTTTCTAGCCCACATTAATAGTTAGCGTTCTGAAACTGCAATAAAGCTTTCCATTTCCTTGGACACATAAACGGAGAACGTTTGGGTGGCTTTTTCAGGGGGATGGTAAAGTGTTATTAACAAGTTTATGCACACACTGCCTTACATAATACTAGTATGGAAAGAAAAATCAGGTCCAGTTCCAAGCTGGGAATAAAATGGAGGCTGCTTTTGAAAGAAGGTCTCTTTATTGATGAACAGGACCACCAGCAGCATGTGGTTCTGAAAGAGCTGACCAGCTGATTTGATGACTACATGGATTTTTATACAGTTTTCACAGCATTTCATAATCTAGAGGCTTGCTTTGTGTGTTTTGTTATTTGATTGGTTTTACTTGTTTTGCAAAGGCTCGTAGCTTCCTTGGTCCTAATCCTGTCAAACAAATGTAATTAATTTTAACCTCTTATCTTCAGTCTGTCTGTTACCTCCATTAAGCTCTGTTTGTGAATCAACAGGCTTGTTTCAATGATTCTGCTTTTTGAAATAGCCAGGGGCTTCATGAGTGAAACATTGCTTCTGTATTTCTTTTCCGGAGCTTTATTTTTGTAATTTGGGGGGCATAGTAAAAAGGATTGGGAACCCCCCCCCAATTTATATCTTCTTTTGGATCCAGAGATTGAGAGCATGGCCTGAATCAAAGGACTCTGTGTTCAAGTCTAACCTCTCTCTGCTTTTTTTGTTCAATGCTGAATTTCTTGGTATCTCCTATCAAAGTACAGGTCAGTCCTTGGTTCATTTAGTGACTGTTACAGGGGCACTGAAAAAAGTGACTTATGACCATTTTTCACACTTACAGACTGTTCAACACCCCATGGTCACATGATCAAAATTCAGATGTTGGCAACTGACTCATATTTATGACGGTTGCAGCGTCCCAGAGTCATGTGATCACCTTTTGTGACCCAAGGAAGTCAGATTCACTTAACAACTGTGTTACTAACTTAACAACTGCAGTGATTCACTTAACAACTATAGCAAGAAAGGTCGTAAAATGGGAAAAAACTCAGTTAACAAATGTTTCACTTAGTGACAGAAATGTTGGGTTGGGTTCAATTGTGGTCGTAAGTTGAGGACTACTAGAAGACCTCCAAGGTCCCTTCCAGCTCCTATTCTATTCTATTCCATTCCATTCCATTCTATTCCCATCCCCATATATTCTATTCTATTCTATTCTATTCTATTCTATTCCATTCCATTCCATTCCATTCTATTCTAATCATTTGAGGTGGAATGATGTTGGCTTAAGGCAGTGTTTCTCAACCTTGACAATTTTAAGGCACGTGGACTTCAACTCCCAGAATTCCACAGCCAGCATTGCTGGCTGTGGAATTCTGGGAGTTGAAGTCCACGTGCCTTAAAATTGTCAAGGTTGAGAAACACTGCCTTAAGAAGAAGGACAAACACAACCTTTGTAGAACTACAAATATTTATATTAAATTCAGTAGGTATTTCTCTGTCTTTTTTGTGTGTGTTTAAGCCCACACTCATATTTCCAAAAATCCAGTTTGGTAGTAAAGGCATCAGGCTAGAAACCGGGAGATTGGGAGTTCTAGTTCTGCTTTAAGCATGAAGCCAGCTGGGTGACCTTGGGGCAGTCACTTTCTCTCAACTCTAAGGAGGTGGCAGTAGCAAACCACGTTTGAAATCTTGCTAAGAAAACTGCAGGAACTTGTCTAGTCTGACTCAAAAGTGCAGCCTATACACATACACACAAGGAAATCCATGGCCTGCCTTTTTCCAGGACTGAGTTTGTGATCCTAAGTAAATGTGTGTACTTGGAGGCAAGCATCAAGGGTGACAGTGAAACTGACCTTTGAGTAAACATGCAAATGATGGCGTTGCAAGTTAAATATATGAGAAGATGTTGAACAAGAACTCTTTGTTATCTAGTAGTCTATGGCTATGGTCTCCGTACTTGGCAACTTTAAGACTTGTGGACTTCAACTCCCAGAATTCTTCAGCCAGCCATGCTAGGAGTTGAAGAGAGACCCCTGTCTATGAGCATATACAGCAGTGGTCTTCAAACTTGTTTTTTTGTAGAGACCCCTGTCTATGAGCATATACATCAGGGGTCTTCAAACATGGTTTTTTTTATGACTTGTAGACTTCAACTCCCAGAATTCCTCAGCCAGCATGCCTGGCTGAGGAATTCTGGGAGTTGAAGTCCACAAGTCATAAAAGGGTCAACTTTGAAGATCTCTGATATACAGGCAATCCTTGATTTGTGACAGTTACAAAGGATACCCTAAAAGCTACTTAGGACCCAGATTCGAAGCTCTGACACACAAACACACACACACCCACACACACACATCACATCACATCACATGACCATAATTTGGAAGCTCAGCAGCTGATCTGTATTTACGGCCATTTGCAGGGCCTTGTGGTCACATAACCTGCAATTTACTATGTTTTTGCAAGAAACCAGCATTACTTCCGGTTTCCAGCAAAAATCAGTTGGGTTCACTTTACAACTGTTGTGTTTGACAACAGCAACAACAAACACCAACAGCAAAACATGTCTTAAATTCAGGTGTGATCATGTGGTAACCCACTTTATGACTGTCATGACTTAGCAACCGAAATGGGGTGGGGGTTCAGTTACCGTCGTAAGTCGAGGACAATCTGTATTAAGCCTGAATAAAAACAGTTCAGCTTCTTTCTGGCTCTAAAATAATCCCAGTTATTTCTGGTGGCAGCTTCAAACATTTCTTGATTCAGTGAAGTTTTTGTAAAGTTCTTGGCTGGGATATTGCCATGTATATACATGTTTTAGCATTTGGGAGTGGACATATTTTTCTCCTGTGTTACCTGTGCATTTGTGTGCAAAATAACTTCCTATGTATAGAACAGTAAGCTAGGGCAAAAAAACCCCCTCCCAACAACCCAGTTTAAACTTCTAGAGAACTGAAACATGACTATCATCAACATTATCATCAGTCCTGCAACTGTGATCTTCCACTATAGGGGTGGAGGGTAAACAGGGGTATATCAGCATCATTTCCCCTGAATTTCTCCCTTTTAAAAAAAATGGAATATTTCAATATTCTTTCTTCAAAAACCGTATCATGTTTGATGTGGTGAATTACAGGCCTGCATTAATCTTAGCTTTGTTGTGGTGAGCGAGCATATTTGGAGGGGTGGAAACTTTGGGTAAAATCCAGAATCTTTCAGTTCTCATATTTAATGGGGGGGGGGGAAAGCTTGAGTTTTTATCCTGTCATTCTTGGATAAGCAGATACAATACTCTCAAGCTAAGCAGGATGGGACCCGGCTAGTATTTGGATGGGAGAGCAACAGGAGAACCCAGGCTGGGAATTTGGTTCAAGCTTGGCTGAATTTTATTTATTTATCTGTATCTCCCAGCTTTACTATTTTTACAAGTAACTCAAGGCCGCAAACATATCCAACACAGCTTCCTCCTCCATTTTCCCAACAACAACAATCCTGTGAGATGGGCTGGGCTGAGAGAGAGGCCCAAGGCCATCGAGGTGGCTTTCATGCCTAAGACAGGACTAGAACTCACCGTCTTCTGGTGATTGGCCCAGATTCACCCAACTGGCTTTCATGACTAAGGTGGGACTTGAACTCACAGTCTGCTGCTTTCTAGCCTGATGCCTTAACCACTAGACCAGGGGTAGGCAACCTTGGCTCTTTTATGACTCGTGGACTTCAACTCCCAGAATTCCTGAGCCAGCCATGCATGCTGAGAGGAAAGAGAGAAGTTTCCAAGCTGAGCCATGCTGGCTCAGGAATTCTGGGAGTTGAAGTCCACAAGTTATAAAAGAGCCAAGGTTGCCTACCCTTCTGCTAGACCAAACTGGCTCTCCAGGCTAGGAACTTGAAAAAATATTCCAGTAATAGCAAATCACTGTTGCCAAGGAAAATACATGGATGGGTCTGTTACATCAATAGGAGTTACCTCCACGTTTGGATTGGAGATTTCACTTTAGCTTCATTGATCTGTTTTTGTACACAAAACCTACCTGGGGTTAAGGAAGACAAAGGATGTGTTTTTTGCCATGTCCCTGATTGTTGATTTCTATACAGATAATCCTTGCCTTACAACCACACTTGAGCCCCAAATTTTCATTGCTAAGCAAGACAGTTGTTAAGTGAGTCTTGCTTCATTTTGTGACCTTTCTTGTCTTGGTTGTTAAAGTGAATCACTTTAAGTTAATAACACGGTTGTTAAGTAAATCTGGCTTCCCCATTGACTTTGCTTGTCAGAAGGTCACAAAAGGGGATCACATGACTTTGGGACACTGAAATCCGTCCTAAAATACATGCCAGAGTCAAACATCCCAATTTTGATTCGTATGGCCTTCAACACTCAGAATTCTGGGAGTTGAAGTCCACACTTCTTAAAGTACCCAAGGTTGGGGAACAGAGAGAAATCTAGGATGCAAAACTTTGGGAAGACAGTATCACCTGCATGCCCGTTTTTTCTAAAGTTGCTTTGTCCTTTCTTCCTCCTCCAGTTCTTCCTGTGTTCCGTCTACGTCCCCTTGTGCACGGAGAAAATCAATATCCCGATCGGCCCCTGCATCGGCATGTGCCTCTCCGTCAAAAGGCGATGTGAGCCAGTCCTGAAAGAATTTGGCTTCTCCTGGCCAGAAAACCTGAATTGCAGCAGGTTCCCTCCACAGAACGACCAAAATCACATGTGCATGGAAGGGCCAGGAGACGAGGAGGTCCCCCTCCACAGCAAGGCCCCCTTGCATCCCGGAGAAGAATGCCAAAATGTCGGATCAAACTCAGATCAGTATATCTGGGTCCGAAGAAGCTTGAATTGCGTTCTCAAGTGCGGCTACGACTCTGGCCTCTACAGCCGGTCCGCCAAGGCGTTCACCGACATCTGGATGGCCGTGTGGGCGAGTCTCTGTTTCATTTCCACCGCCTTCACCGTCCTGACCTTTTTGATTGATTCCACTCGCTTTTCCTATCCGGAGCGGCCCATCATATTCCTGAGCATGTGCTACAATATTTATAGCATCGCTTATATTGTCCGGCTGACCGTAGGCCGAGAAAGGATTTCCTGTGATTTTGATGAGGCCGTCGAGCCTGTTCTCATCCAGGAGGGCCTCAAGAACACCGGATGTGCCATCATTTTTTTGCTGATGTACTTTTTCGGCATGGCGAGCTCCATCTGGTGGGTGATTTTGACCCTGACGTGGTTCCTGGCCGCCGGACTCAAATGGGGCCACGAGGCCATTGAGATGCACAGCTCGTATTTCCATATCGCTGCCTGGGCAATCCCTGCGGTGAAGACCATCGTCATCCTGATTATGAGGTTGGTTGACGCCGATGAGCTGACAGGCCTGTGCTACGTGGGCAACCAGAACCTTGACGCCCTGACGGGCTTTGTGGTGGCTCCCCTTTTCACATACTTGGTCATTGGGACCCTCTTCATTGCGGCCGGCTTGGTGGCTTTGTTTAAGATCAGGTCCAACCTTCAAAAGGACGGGACCAAAACGGACAAGCTGGAGAGGTTGATGGTGAAGATTGGGGTGTTTTCCGTGCTCTACACCGTGCCTGCCACTTGTGTCATTGCCTGCTATTTCTATGAGATCTCCAACTGGGGGATTTTCCGCTACTCTGCAGATGCCTCCAACATGGCTGTGGAGATGCTCAAGATTTTCATGTCCCTCCTTGTGGGCATCACGTCTAGCATGTGGATTTGGTCGGCCAAGACGCTGCACACTTGGCAAAAGTGCTCTAATAGACTGGTGAATTCGGGGAGGGTAAAACGGGGGGCGAAGAGGGCGGACGGGTGGATGAAGCCCGGGAAAGGAAATGAGACAGTGGTATAAAGAAAGGAGCAGGAACCCAGAAAATTCTCTTTTCCGTCTCCTCCCCGATGTAAGAGGAACTGATGGAGATGGCAGCATCTGGAGAAGGGGTGTTGGAGTGAATCCTTTATTGAGAAATATTTTGAGTTTTTGCAGGATTTCGAAGGAGGAGAGGAGAGCAAGCAAGGGGGCTTGAGCAAGCTGGTGGGGGAGAAAAGCACAATTTTCGCAATGGCTTCACAAAGTTGTGAAGGTAAAGAGTAGAAGCCTCTTGGATTTCTATCAGCAAGCGATGATTTTAGGATTCATGGGACTTTGCACCTCCTGGTTATGCACAGTGTGCCTTCTCTCACTCCTTTTCTTCCCCTTGGCCTGTCCCGACTCACATGTATCACTGTCTTGTCGAAGTAGTGCAAGAGAACAAAATGGAGAGGAAGAAATTCCTAGTTCTTCAGGGTTTGGGGAGAATTGCTAGTGTCAGGGAATTCTGAATCCAAGGCCTTTCAACTTGGAAAGTGATGTTCAGTTCGATGTCCAGAGCTTGGATACAGCAGAAAAGTTCTGCAGAATTCCTTCAAACACAGACCAGAGAAAGTTCTGAGATTCAAGCCAAACCAATTTGCCTTTAGCCTCCATCTACTAAATACTACGGTACTATGGAGTGAGCAAACAAACAGAATGGAAACAGGATGTCTTTCTAATCACGATGACCCCAAAATGACATCAAGATGTCACAGTGCAAGAGATAAGGTCATCAAATCCACAACCCCCCTTCTCTTGATAGATTTATTTTGGTGGGAAAAAAAAACCCAAGAAACTTTAAACACAATAGTTCCTAGAGCCTTTAAACACAATAGCTGCAGGATTCTTTTCCCATTCAGTAGCTGAAGTTACTAAACAAGATTCACAGGAGGATCACAGGAGGATAGAGCAGTGATAACACGATCCCCTGCAGGGGCAACAGCTGGTTTTCAAGTTCTTGGGGAAATTTTGAGAGGTGAGGAAGTTTTTTCTTAAAAAAAAAAACAACAACAACAACCATCGAAGCATAATGCATCTATTTTGCTTCTTAATTTAATTTTCAAGCCTCATGCAGCCACTAAAAAGTTGTTGGCGGAAGTTTGGCTCAGGAATTAAACTTTTAGTCTCAACTATCGAGGCGGGAGTTTTAATATTTTCCAAGAAATGGAACAATTCTTCCTTTTTTTGTACTAAATCCCTGCTTTAACAAATGTCTGGCAGCATTTTCCAAATTGAGGGGCCTGAAAGCATCTGATATGTGGTGCTTCCTTTGTACAGTTTATGGCTTAAAATGTTTAGCCTAGTTTTTATTCTGAAAAAGGCTGACGGTAGAGATGGGAAACCTCTCAATATCCATTGCCATCCTTACTGCCAAGCTTTAAATTCACCCATAGGGTCTTCAAAATTAAGCTTTTGGGGCCTATTTTCATGTTTTTCTCAACAGCAGGGAATTCTGGGAGTTGAAGTCCACACATTTTGAGGCACCAAGGTTGAGAAATACCGACTAGCAGGGTAGGGAACCTTGGCTCTTTAATTCCCAGAATTCCTGAGCCAGCATGGCTCAGCTTGGAAACCTCTCCCTTTCCCCTCAGCATGGCTGGCTCAGGAATTCTGGGAGTTGAAGTCCACGTGTCATAAAAGAGCCAAGGTTGCCTAGCCAATGGTGGTGTTTAAGGCTATGAAGAGATTTTTTTTTCACTATGCTCCTGTTCCTAGTCCTTATTTTCATGTTTTTAAGCTGAAAATCCTACCAAAAGCCATTCATTTGGCTCTGTTTTGAGATTAAAAATAGTTGTTAGCCTGCAGACATGCTGAGCCAATCCATCGGTGCGCACCAAATTAAATTCCAAAATGCAGCACCACACTTTTGTGACCCTTTTGAGGAACATTGTCTCTAAATTTCTCCAGCTCACAATGACACAAACAGTAAATTGGAGCCGGACCACAGCTTCTACGGAGCTCCATGAATATTAATAGGAAAATTAATTGAGCTACTCTGGCTTTCAGCCCAGAGGTGAGGTTAGCTAATTTAGCCAGGCTTCTGGCCTCCCCTAGGACATTCAAGCTATGACCTCTGTACTAGGGTAGCAACTTTTATTTCACGCAACTCTTTGTGCTGCTGCTTGCAGTTGCCAGAGAGAAGGAGCAGAACATGCAGAAGTTGCTTAGGAAAGCCTTGTAAATTCTCCTCCTGATTTAAGCAATCCTTGCCCATAATAGTAAATGCCCACAACATTAAATTAATAAGGCTAACTTCATCAGTCCACTGACTGCGAAACAACTCACTTGTCAAATTTCCCTTCCCCCCCCCCACTAAAATAAGTTGAATCTGGCAGCAAAGGTGATCTACCAGATTCACGAGCAGTTCCTTTGCAAATGGGATCTAGGGAATTTTATACATTGAACTGCACTCCTGAATATAGTAAGCCCTGGTTTAGTGTCCAGCAATTGGAATCAACAGTTTGGTCATTAAATGAAGCAGTCGCTGAGTGAAACCACCTAAACGCAACTGTGCATAGCTTTTACGCAGGACAACACGTATTGACTGACTATAATTGGAAACATACGATTCAGAAGAGAGATGCCGCAAAGGTTCTGGCTGTGGGCACCGGCTACAAAATTGCTTTGCCACCACTGTCATAACTGCGAACAATCACTGTCCAAGGCAGTCGCTAAATGAAGACTACTTGTAATTTAAAAAAAAGCAATGTACATCCTGAACGCGCCTACACTGAGAAAACAAGCACATAAGGGTGCTGCCTTTTTCCCCACCCTTTTCTGAAAAAGATCTAGTGTTGGTATAGCATTGCAACGTGCTGTTCTATCCTATCCTGTCCTACTGTTAGTTTATAACAAAATGTACACAACACTATCCATCAGGGTGGAAGCGGTGAGGGTCTTCTTTCCCTAAGGTTTTGCATGAGGTATCCTGAGGGATACCTTATCAAAATAAGCAGAGAAGAAAAGGGGGGAAACCTATCCTGAAATTTGATCTCGCTTTGAGGCCAGACCCTCCCTGTTCTAATGCAATCTAAAGGTCGTTGGCCTTTTGAGATCAAAGAGAAAGTGTCCTTCAAATTAAACCCAACTTTTGATAACCTATTCATATGCGAAACCTCAGAAACCCATTAATCACTTTTCCAACTAGCCAATTATGTCTTTTATACTAAAAGTCAGAAAAGCAACTACAGGTGGTTCTTGGCTAATGGCCCAAAATTTATGTTGCTAAGTGAGAAATTTGTTAAGTGAGTTTTGCCCCATTTTACGGTTTTTCTTGCCGCACTTGTTAAGCGAATAGTTGTTGTTGTTAGTTGCGAAGTTGTGTCCGACCCATCGCGACCCCATGGACAACATTCCTCCAGGTCTTCCTGTCCTCTACCATCTTGTGGAGTCTATTTAAGCTCACACCTACTGCTTCAGGGACTTCATCCAGCCACCTCATTCTCTGTCGTCCCCTTTTTCTATTAAGTGAATCACTACAGTTTTTAAATTACTAACATGGTCCTTAAGTGAATCTGGCTCCCCCATTGATTTTGCTTGTCAGAAGGTCACAAAAGGCGATCACGTGATCCTGGCACCCGGCAGCTGTCATAAATGTGAACCAGTTGTCAAGCATCCGAATGTAAATGACGTGACCATGAGAGGCTGCAACAGTTATAGGTGTGAAAAATGGCCATGTCAGTTTTTTCAGTGTTGTGTAACTTCAAATGGTCACTAAGTGAACCATTGTAAGCTGAGGACTACCTGTACAGATAGTCCTTGATTTACAACCATTTGTTTAGTGACCGTTCGAAATTACAACAGCACTGAAGGGACTTATGACCGTTTTTCACACTGACGGCCATTGCAGTAGCCCCGTGATCATGTGATCAACATTCAGAGGTTTGGCAGTTTGCTCATTCTTATGACGGTCGCAGCGTTCCCGGAGTCACGTGATCCCCTTTTGCAACCCTTCTGACAAGCAAAGTTCACGGGGAAGCCAGATCCCCTTTACAACCGTGTTACTCACTTAACAACGGCAACGATTCACTTGACATAAGAAAGGTTGTAAAATGGGGCAAAGCTCACTTCACAAGCGTCCTGTTTAGCAAGGGAAATTTTGGGCTCCATTGCGGTCATAAGCCAAGGACTCCTCTGATTTTTCACACATGCATGTGGAGACTGCTCCCTCCTGGCCGTATTATGGAAGCAAGTGGCTGGCTATTGCCCCCTAATGGGATTTTTTTTTTTTTTTTAAATAACTTCCCGGGATAAGTGATAGCCCTGGGATCTGACCATCTCGGGGTCTTCCTCGCTTTGCAAAGTCATCTAGCTTGGATTTCACACACACACCCTCATTTATTTTCTAGAATCCTTTCTACTGTCTCCAAATCAAAAAGTCTTATCTAAGGAAGGCTTCTATGCAACAGGGGGCTAAATAAGTAAAAGGAGAATGGAAGGCCACTTCTGACAATTGTCTCTCTTCAAAGCCGGTTTTGTTCTGCATTTCTATCTCTCTTTTCTCTGTCTTTCCCTCTCTCTCTCCCCCCCCCACCTCTCAAACCTGGGTAAGCTAATATGGCCACCCCTGGAGACCCATTGCATTAAGCAATTAAGGCTTAATATGTTTCACCCTGTGCGATTGTATCTGTGTTGACGCCAGTCTGGGCAAACTGAAATGTTACGTTCCTTGGCAGCTTTGCATTCACACAGATCAGTTGCATAATTTGTGTGTCAGTTACAATTAAGGGGACATTCCCCAGGCCTGGGGAGGGGAAAGCACAGCTGACTCCCTCTGAACCAAAAAAACAAAAAACCCAGGAAGGTTCATTTTGAGTGTGTTTTCTTTTTTCTTTTTTTTGCCTTTTGGTCAAGAAATGTCAGGGTGCCTGTTTTAGAATTTTTTTTTTTTCCCCTAAACAACAACAACAAAAAAAAGCTGCAAAGAGAATAAAATGCAGCGATGGTCAGAAGTTTGATGAAGTTTTAAAATTTTTTGGCAGCTTTGTTATCTAGTCTGCCCTGAAGGGATTTGATGGCCGTGATCCCTTGGGTGGCTTGAAGTGTTGAGCAATTTAGCTGCTTGGGAAGCTGGCTTAATTCTTAATTTTTTTTTTCTTTTTCGTCTGTAGAGGATTTCCCACTTTGACACACAACACTAATTCAATCGTCACTTGGGTTGCTGGTAAAAAAAAAAAAACCAACAGTATTTTTGTGAGCCCTGAGGTTTACCTTGCGGTGAGAGGGGCGGGCCAATAAATTTTATAAATAAATAAATAAACAAATAAATAATTTTTTTTAATGGTGAGGATTGTCCACTGTCAGCTTGGGTGTGCACATTTACAAACAGACCTCAGCTTACAACCACAATTGAGACTGGAACTTCCAGTGAAGGCAGTTGTGAAGCAGATTGCGTCTAATTTTATGAACTGGTTTGCCCTGCTTGTTCAGCGACTCACACGGTTGTTAAGTGAATCCGCCTTCCACCATCATTTTTGCTTGTCGGAAGCCAGCTGGAAAGGTCACAAACCTCAATCACGTGACCCTGGGATGCTGCCACTGTCATAAATACATGCTGATCACCAAGCACCCAAATTTTGACCTTGGGAATGCTGCGACGGTCACAAGTGTGAGGGCTTTTTTGCAGTGCCATGGTAACTTTGAACATTCGCTAAATGAATTGTTGTAAGTCGAGGACTACCTATATAATGTGTTGAAGGAAAAGTCTTCATTGTGGTTCAGTCCAAGCCGGGCATAAACAACATGGCGACTGCTTTAGAAAAAAGGTTGTAGTTTATTGAAGAAGAGAGCCAGACAGGAAGAAGGCTCTGGAAGAAAAGAGAGAGCACATGTAGGGAGTGGGTTTTTATACCCTCTGGGGCTCTTGAGGTTGTTTCCTGTTCCTGTTTGAGGCTTTGTAATTCCTGTGTCATGTACTTTGACCTGAGTCTGAGTGTGCCCCTTTGACATCTGTGGGTTAATCCTATTATGTCCTGTCTTAGAGTGTGTAGATTTTAGGTGTCTGTCTTCCTAAGCTTCTAGCTGGGGGTCTCCAATCTTCCTGAATGGATTATTACATCTGCATTTCTATAGAGCTGGTTTCTGCTTGGGGGAGGGAGACTTGGGGCTATGAAGAAAAACCGGGCATGCTTTTCTGCCTCTTTAAGATCCTTTGAGGAAATATAATATTCTGCCCTTTTAATATTTCCTTCTCTGGGGGGCTGACTTCCCACAAGTGAAATTGGGATTACTATTTTTTTTTTTTAATCAACTGGGCCATGTATGGTTTTTGTTGAAATGCATGGGTCACCCTTTGCTCACCTTAGGATGGCAGCTTTTAGAGTTCCCAGTGGATAAATAGATATTTTGTTTGCTGCTTCTTGCAGCTCACAAAATAACCAGTCACAAAACCTGACCTTCTTCTAAATTTCTTGACCGGCAATTTTCTATTTTCCTTTGATGCAATGTATGGGCAGTCCTACGACTGGCTGTTTAATGACTGTTTGAAGATTCCCCCCCAAATGGGACTTACGACCCAAAATTCGAAGTTATGATGTCCTTTCCGCCTAGTCACATGTTCTTGTTTTGGGTTCTTAGCAACCAGCCTGCATTTATGGCTGTTTGAAGCACCCCACAGTCGACGTGACTGTGATTTCCAAAGTTTTTGTTGGAAATCCAGCATTGACTTCTGGTTTCCAGCAAAAACCGCCTCATAGTGAACAATTGCTTCACTTCACCAACAAGTCTAGTCACACAATGGCCCATTTTGTGACCACAAATTTACAACCAAGTTTATGAGTTCAATTACGGTCCTAAATCGAGGACTACCTGTAATTGAAAACGTTCTGAGCCCTTCTGTCCCTATTTTTTTTTTCCTTTTTTCTTTTGGAGAGTACACAAAAGCCCTTTTCAAGCATGCATATAGAAACTATTGGGCTGCTGCCTTGAAATAATTTTGCATTTTCTTGGCTTCTAGTTGTTGCAGATGTTTCTTTCCCTTTGTTATCCAATTGTTATCCAATTGTTTATCCAATCCCAGCTTGCTGGCTGGGGAATTTTGGGAGTTGAAGTCCACACATCTTAAAGTTGCAGAGGTTGAAAAAAATCCTGATCTTGAAGAACCATTTAAAACACACACACACACACACACACACACACACACACACACCTGATGACTAAAACTACTTTTTAGATGGCCTGTGTTTTATACTCATTTCCAAATAGGAATTTCAGATGTTTCTTTGCAATTGGATCGGTGGTCCTAACTTGGTGACTGGGGAATTCTGGGAGTTGAGGTCCATGCATCTTAAAGTTGCAGAGCGTGAAAAACACTGAACTTGAAAAATATTTTTTAAAAAAGAAAACCTGATCATTAAATTGCCTTTTTAGGTGACCTGTGTTTTGTACTCATTTCTAAAGAGGGGAAAAGGGTTATTTGTAATCAAGCAAACCGGCAGTTTGAAAGTCTGTAAATTTGTAAATTGGCTGTCAAGTTCAAAAGTGTGACTTTTGTCGTTGG